GCGGAGGGGGGCACATTCTTCTGCCTTAGTGTCACAGGCGTGCATGTTCACACCAGGCCCTGCTCGTTGGAGGCCAGCAAGGCCACACTCCCCCAGTTGGGCATTCTGTCCAGCTTGCTAGCTGCCCATGTGGGGTGACACCACGCCCCACCCATCGGCTGGCTGTCTACTTGTTCAGGCTCAGGGGGTGGGGAGGCAGTTCCCATCTTGGAAGCCAGCTGGGATCAGGGAGGCACCTGGGCATGGGGATGTCTCTGTGATCTGCTGCAGCTGTGTGCCCCGGGGAGTCAACATCTGGAGGGCAGCTCTGACACCGTGAGCCAGCTGTTCCCGAAACACACTCCCCCCTCCACCCCCGGTATTTGTCTGGCTCTCATATGGCAGCCACAGGTGCCTCACCGGCTGCCACTTCCCAATCAGATGTTGACACCTCGTAGGCCCTGAGTGACTTCTGGGCTCCCGCACCCCTGCGGTCGATCGGAATGTCCCCATTACTCAGGCTCCGGCCTGTAAAGAAACCCTGAGCCTCTGACCACCCTCCCTGGGACTCCAAGTTCCTGGGGGAAGGGGTGGGAGGGGAGCCAGCAGCACTCCATACTTTGTGGCACTCTGGCCCCTCCCTAGGCCGTTCCCATCTTTCATTCGCTCAGCCCCATCAGCTCTGCCAGGGGATTGGGATACAAAGGTGTCAGGCCTGTCCCTGCCCTCAGGGCTCTGCCCCAAGGAGAAGACTCCAGGGTGAGTCTTAGGAACAGCATGGAGGGGGCTGCTGACGGTCACTCTTACCCACCTGCATCCGCACATGATTTGGGGGATGTTCGGAAAGGGAGGAGTGGCCTGTCGAGGTCCCCGTGGCGACCCCTGACCCCTCGGTCTTCCAGGTGTGCCAGTGGAGAGGGGAGCGTCCCTCCACCGGTTCCGCACACGCAGCCTCACGCCCGATGCCTGTGTCTCCCGGCCTCCCCGCAGGCAGCGTAAGGAAGGCCAGTGCCCAGAAGCAGGATGAGAAGATGGCACACTTCTTGCTACCCCGGGGCACCAGCAGCTTCCGCAGGCTCACCCCGGAGTCTCTGGCGGCCATCGAGAAGCGCGCAGCGGAGAAGCAGGCCCGCAGCGCGGCCGCTGCACAGGAGAGCCGAGACGGGCTGGCCGAGGAGGACGTGCCCCGGCCCCAGCTGGACCTGCAGGCCTCCAAGAAGCTGCCCGATCTCTACGGCAACCCACCCCGGGAGCTCATCGGGGAGCCCCTGGAGGACCTGGACCCCTTCTATAGCACCCAAAAGGTAATGCTCCCCCTGGTGTGCAGTGGACAAGGAGGGGACCTGGGGGGCAGCTCCCTTGGGGTTTTTGTGGTGGGGGTGTCCTGGGAGGGGTGTCCGCCTTGCCAGCCACTGTAATTTTAGAGTTCTGGGCTCTGAGGTAGGGGTTGTATGGCCTGAGATGGTGCTGTGAAGAAGAGGGAGTCCACTCTCCAATCTGTCCTTCCTGTGGGATGTCGATGGCGTGCTCTGTGGGTACAGCCCCACTCCCCCACCCCCGGGGCACTTCTCCGGGCTCCTGCTGGGTGACCTGGAGTCAGGTTCTGGGTTCTGCCTGGGCTGAGCTTGTGGGGCCCTTCTCCTTGTAGAGGATATGTGTACCCCCATACCCTACCCCTCTGGTGTCAGGGAGAGCTCACTGGGCCTCATCTATGCTAGGGTGGCCCAGGCTGGGCCATAGCAGCCGCTCCCTCCATCCCCCAACCCCACCCAGCGCTTTTGTGGGCCGCACTGACCAAGGAGGCCAGTGGGAATCTGATAGAGGCAGCAGCCACCTGGTGGGGGCGCTGTCCCATGGTGCTTCCTAACTGGTAAGAGAGGAGGGGACTTTTGACTCTTATTGGGGTGAGGATGGGGTCGGGGGTGCTGCCAGAATACATTTGTACCCAGAAGACACATCTTCACCACCTCAGACCCGGTCCTGGCCTCGCCACTCTGGGTCCTTTTCCCCAGCCCTTGTCCCCCCCAGATCCTGGGCACTCAGGGTTCCTGAAGGAATGTGGGCCCCAGGTGGCTCTGTGCACTGCCAGAAGCAGGTGGATTTGAGTTGGGGTGAAGCCTTTCTCCAGCAGACCAAGAGGGGCAGGGGCCTGACAGCAGTTGGTGCCAGGCTGAGGACACACACTCAGGGTTCACCGTTGGAGTCTGGTGTGTGTAAGGGAGGGAGAGCGAGTGTGAGCACAAGCAGGGGTGGATGCTGTACCTGTGCCAGTCAGGGCTGGTGTGTGTGTCACCATGTGTCGGAGACCAAGAGCCTGGGGGTGGGCATGAGCCCCCCAGCGGCCCTGTGTCTGCAGGCACGTGAAGGCATGACTGTGTGGAGGAAAAGCCCTTCACGGGCGTCCACCTGCACTTCCAGCTGGTTCAGATGAGGCCAAGGTCAGGTGTTGGGCCCACAGACCGGGACAGGGAAAGATAACGGGGGTGATTCAGGGTGGGCGGGCTTAGGTCACAGTTAGTTGGGAAGCCTTGGGGTTGGGGTGGTGACGAGTTTGGAGTTGACTGGGATCTGTCATGAGTCACAGGATTAGGCTGGGACTCGGGCTGAGGACTGGATATTTGGGGACTGGTGACAGTTACGCCTGGGCAGAGTGTGGCATGTTGTCTCCTCTGTCCCTTTGCCCCCATCCCCTAGGAATGCTACAACGGTGGAAGGAAGCCTGGCCCCTAAAGGGCTGACCCTCCTTGCTGACCCCTCTGCACTCAGGGCTGCTTTAGGCCTTGGCTCCCGCCTATTATGCACCGTCTAAGCCTGGGGCAAGCAATGTCCACCCTCCTGTCCCCTGCCCCATGTAGGCTCTTCTGGAAGCCTGGGGAGGAGAGCCCCATCTAGAGCTGCTCGTGACCCCACCAGGGGAAGACCATAGGCTGTTTGCTCAAGGCTGGATGGGGCTGTCAGCCAGCCTGGACTCCGGAGACCGAGACTAGGGACATGTCTGCGTGTACCTCGCCCTTACACTTTCTTCCTGACCCAGATCCCCCGGCCCCCAGGGCGTCTGCCAGGGAAGGAGAAGGCAGAAGAGGGTGGAATTTAAAGACCACTTCTGGCCAAGAACTATAATTCTGAAAGTAAAGCAAACCCCAACCTTCAGACCTAGTACGTCAGTCCAGGTGGACTAGAGAAACGATTTCATAGACACTCATGTGTATAAGAAAGAGCTTTATTTACAAGAGCAGTTGAATATTGAGAAAACATTCCAGCCCAGTCCAGATCAAGTCCATAAGTCTGATATTAGCCCATATTTCTGATACCAATCTATAAAGTCCTCTTCAGATTCATGAAACGCATGCAATGACACCGAATGCAGGAAGATCATAGGCAATTGGGTGGGAAGTGTTGTGGATCCAGTGACGTTGTAAGCATCTTAGCCCTGGTACGGGTCTCCAGGTGGCTTTTCCAGCTCCAGAGGTCTGGCTCCATCAGCCTCTCTCCATGTGTCTTCTCCATGGGGATGTCTCCCAGGGAGTGAGCATGTGTCCCGCCTCCAGCGAGCTATTGATCTTAACACCTCCAAATGAGGTCATCAAGCTACGACCTGATTGACAGGCTAGACTCCACTCCTCTACTCTGAATCCTCAAACTGACACCAGATTACGTAACTACCACACCTAGCCTACCCTTACCCCCTCCCTCAATGGATCGAGCAGTGAGGGTCCACTGAGCCCTGTGGCTGCTTCCCTCCCCACAATCCTTCCTTAGGTCATCGCTTCTTCCTCCCCCACACCCTCACAGCCAGGGTCCCAGGACTTCCAGGGTCCAGTAGCTACCCACGAGAACCCCTGCCCACAGTCCCTGGGGCAGACACCCCTCACCTAACCCAGCTCTCTATCTGCAGACCTTCATCGTGTTGAATAAAGGCAAGACCATCTTCCGGTTCAGTGCCACCAACGCCCTGTACGTGCTCAGCCCCTTCCACCCGGTCCGGAGAGCAGCGGTGAAGATTCTGGTACACTCATATCCTTGGGAGTTGACCCCTGTTGGCTGCACCACCCGGACAAACCCCCATGTCAGTGCAGGTCCGAGGGTGGTGGGGTGCCGACGTCCTGCAGGGTCCTCGGGCAAGGAGCGCGGTGGTCACCTGGGAGCTGGTGCTAAATGCAGACTCGCCGGCCTTACCCCAGAAGCCAGCCCTGCCCCTGCATGTTATGAGAGCCTGGGGCTTGTGGTCACATGCATGGTAAGGAGACCCTCTCCTTGCCCTCCGGTGGGAGACGCCCTGTGCTAGAAGCTAGACCGCTGGCTACCCCTGAAGAAAGGAGGCCCCTCCCTGTGTCCCTGGTGTCCCAAATGTCACCCCCACCACACTCGGGCCCCTCTGCCCTGCACCCCTCAGCCGCTTGCAGGGCCCTGGCTGCGGGTCTCCAGGGACCCAGCCAGGAAAAGGCCCTTTCCTGGGAAAGAGGCCTCCCGCTGATTCACTCCTGGGCCTCTTTCGGGGTAGGCGACGCTGGCTCTCCGTTAGGTGTTGACAACGTGTTTGCGGCTCCAGAGTCTCGCAGAGAACTCTAGCCTGGCCGGCATTGGCATTACGTTGTGTAACCCACAACCGGAGAAGGCCTGCCTCAGAGGGCTGTGACAGGTGGGCTGCTGAGTATTCAGGGGCGTGGACCAGTCTTGGGATCCTGGGACACTTTGGACCCCGGGCCAGCCTTTGCCCCCTCCACCTTCCATCTCATGGGGTGGTGGGGCGATGCTTCTGAACTCCAGAGGAAGGGCCCACTGGGACCTCTGGTGGAGGGTGGGGCCTGGTGGTTCAATCAGAGACCCATCACCGGCCGGAATCCAGCGATGCCCGGGTTATCCCTCCTCGGGCTGTGGCAGCAAGGGGACGTGCACCCTGGGTCTGCTTCACTGCCCCTTTCATGGGTGCTGCTGCCCTCATAATGTGTTAGTCGGGGTTGACTAGAGAAACACATCCAGGGACACTCGTGTGTAAGAAAGAACTTTATATGAAAGAGCAGTTGTACATTAAGAAAACATCCCAGCCCAGTCCAGATCAAGTCCATAAATCTGATATTAGCCCACATGTTGATACTAGTTTCTAAGTTCCTCTTTAGACTCATACGGCCACGCAATGATGCTGAATGCAAGAAGATCACAGGCCAGTGGGTGGAAAATCTTATGGATCCAGTGGTAGTGGAAACATCTCAGTGCTGCCGTGGGTCTCCATGTGGCTCCTCCAGCTCCAGGGCTCTGGCTCCATCTGGCTTGTCAGCAGGAAGCCGGGAGGCTTCAGAAAAGTGGCCCCCTAGTGAGCTTAACTCATAAATAAAGGCACACTCACTGCGATTGAGGCGATGCCTACTCACAGGGACCCTGTAGGACAGGGATGAACTGCCCCTGTGGGTTTCCAAGATGGTTACTCTTTATGGGAGTAGAGAGCCTCCTCTTTCTTGGTCAGTGTGCTTGGGGGCTTTGAACTTCTGCTACCCTGGCAGATCACAGCCCAACGCATAACCACTACATCCCCAGGGCTCCTCCATTGAGCTTGGAGGAGCTGTCACTAACAGATACTAACAGGTTAGGAGCTCCTGCAGGCTAGGGAGGGACCCTGCCGACCTCCCTGGATACACAGTGCTCAGTCCTGAGCCCACGGCAGACCTGGGG